TAAACATCTAGAGAAACTAGCCCAGGTAATATAGGGAGAATACCTCCCTAAACTCCATAGTTTTTTGAAGGGGAGATAATACAGTGATGGGGAGATTGAGAAAGTCAATAAAATTTTAATTGTTGATTGTTGCAAACTATGACAATGTACTTGAACACTACTTGATTTCTGCGTGAACCAGCTCCTGCCCAATTCGGCACAGTGGACAAGTACAGTGGCCAAAGAAGACCCAAACCTGAGCTTGATAGGAAAAAAATTGTAGCCAAATGCATATACAAGACAGACTGCTATGAAGGTCTAACTTCAGTATATCACCTTTCCTTGACGTTCTTGAAATATCATTATCAGAATCCGAGCTTTGAGCCTCTGATGATTCACTGGACGATGTGTCAATATCTCCTAAATAACCAGTTTCTTTGGGGATATCCTTTTGAATTTTATCATCTTCTTTTTCCCTGGTAAGATCTGTTCAGTTGTAGACAAATGAAAGAAAAAATCAACTCGCTCTTTGGTGTTGATAAAAAGAACAAATGCTATGGTAACAATTATCTCTTATGAGGCACAATGTAAGACAAGATTCTTGGGTCCGTGTCTCTGGTCCTAACTGAAACCATGTGATAGGCAGCGAATGACACCGAACAATTTTAAAAATAACATTAGACAAAGAGACCTTACCGTTTTAATTCAGGGCACTTGTACAAAGTGTGTTATATGCACTACTTCATGAATTTATATATCTATTTAGTATAAATCTACTAGCGTTCTATCATGAATCCCGCTCTCTGATTGGCTACGCTACTTACTATCTATTCTGTGATAGATAGTGAGTAGCATAGTAGTGTGCCCTTGTTAACAAAATGACGGCCGCTTCTTGGCGTTTTCGAAGTGTCCGTGAAGAGGATTTAGATTAAGTTTTGAAAGACAAGTATATTTATACTAAATATTTCTATCGCGATTTCTATCGAGCGAATGGTTGACGAGGGCGCAACCCTCGTCAACTATCACGCAATAGAAATCTCGAGCTCATAATCTAGTTGTTTAATAGATAGATATAGTGGGTAGCGTAGCCAATCAGAGAACGACATTCGTGATAGAACGCGAGTATAGATTTATACTAAAACTCGATAGAAACACGGCACATGTTTTCTATTTCTTAAATAGTGACAAATACTTTTATTATGATGGTAAATAGATTAATAAGTTTATGATTTAGGTTCTTACCTTAGAACAATTTTAACATGTATACGTATTTATCTCTCTTATTCATTTATCTGCTCATTTATTTTTATCATTATTTGGCTCTTATTAACCGAGCTTGTTCGGTCTGTATGGGAGAATCTTGACCGAGGTCTGTACACACGACCGAGGTCATGAAGATTCTCCCATACAGACCGAATAAGCTCGGTTGATAAGATGTTTATTATATGCCGCAAACAAGAACAATTTAATTCGTTTAATGTAACTGGTTTGTACTAACTGACATTTTGCTTGCGAACGACGATGAGCTGAATTTAATCCTGCCAAAGTTTGTTCGTCCTCTTTACTCTTTTTTCTCATCGGGCTTTTTGGCACTTCCACAAATAGATAGTGTTAGATGAAAATAGTCAATGATTTTGCATTTTAGTTTGCAACTTTTTCACCGCAAAACATTACAGGTCTAGATGGGAAAATCTAGACCGCTTTCAATATCGATTTCACTCAATCAAATTCGTGAATTTAGTAGTTTCCAGTCCTTGTGAGACAGAGCCATATAATAATATTTTTTTATTTGTTTTCATTGTTATTTGATTGTCCACAACTACTTATCTAAGCTAAATACTCAGATACTTAAACAAAGTTCATTCATTCATTCATTCATTCATTCATTCATTCATTCATTTATTCATTCATTCATTCGTTCATAAGAATTTGTTACAGGTATTGTCGATCTGAAGCCTGAATTATTACAGAGATACTGTGTGAATATCATTAAGTCAAATACTGATCATGTTATGTGAAAAATCATCTTTAAGCCGGCAGAAAAGATGATCTTTGATGTTGCTTATTTACCAAACTGTTTTTCTGCTGCCTCAGCAGCTTTCACGAGTTCGGACCAATCAACTGTCTGAGAGCATTCGCTATCAGTCGTAGTCTCCTCAGAAAATCTGTGCAGTGGAAAAACACGTGTGAAAAAGATCAATATTCACCTTCTTATAGAGAGTAAATTATGTCTGTGTTGCTAATAGTTTGAAGCCGACCAGAACAAATTTGAAATGGAAGCTATGATATTTACAACACAATTAAAATTTACTGGATAGACATTTTTGTTCCTTAAGGTCGAGACACGCGAAGGAACAAGTGAGAGCGACTAGTTCCTGTAACAAGTCACTGGACAAGTCTTTTCGTATGAACTAGCCATTTGTGCCAAAAGATCTAGTCGCTGGGACAGATATTTGGTCCCTGCTACTTCTCCCACGAGTTCAAACTGGTTTGAAATGAAGAGAGAAGTCACCATGACTTGTCTCTCAAGACCCTTTGTATGTGGATAGGGAAGTTCATGAGTACCGATCTTCACCATTTTTAGGGAAGCTAGAATAGTTTTCTTTTAAATATTCTGCATACTTGCTATATAGGGGTCATGATTTTGTTTACATGGATCTGATCAAATCTCATCCGGGGTTGGACGGGGGGGGGGGGGGG